ACACATCTAAACACACTTTTGACAAACGTGAAAAGAAACAAGTATACTATATACAAAATTCACAAATATGTCAAACATGTAAAATTTACAAGTTTGAGAAACATATACAAATAAAGGTACAATTGAACATAAACAAGTTCATTTACAAATTCTATACAACATATACATTAATTACAAAACTCAAAAACAAAAGAACTATCACGATGTAGAACAATAAAAATACCAATCCCCAGCAACGACGCTATTTTATTGAAGAGATAAAGCGGCAAGCAAAAGTAAATTGTTTTTATAGTTTTATCATATCGTCTCCACAGGGATTAGTGGCTACTGAATTTTCGTTTAACAATTTCTCGCGTTTATGAGTTTGGGTTAAAATGGGTTGGTTGTAAAAAAAGGTAAAAGGTGTCAACAAAAAAGAAATGCATTCAATGAAAAGAAGAAACTTATAAAGAGTGCATATAATCTACACATCACAGGCTTAAATCTATCGACCAGTTATACTCAATCTACAATACTCATTAATATCATCATATATCACTCACAATCTAGATTATGTCTAACCCAAATTGAGAGAATAACTTCATTCCTGCATCGGTGATCTCTCAACGTAACACAAATAGCACATAAGCATTAAGCTTTGAAATCCACATTGATTATTAGCTCTAAATCTATCTCTAGAATCTAGAAACTATGAGATATTCATCCCTAATCAAGATTTGTGAGGTATATGTCTATAAAAATCCAAATATAAAGCAAAAAGATCAAAGAAGACATCTAGATTGATTTGTAAAGCAAGTTTTATGCAACACCATGATCAATATATATATATATATATATATATATATATATATATATATATATATATATATGTTCAGAGTAAATATACAAACAAACACAACAAAAGAGAAATACAAAGAGAAGAAACAAAGTAAAAATACACATCTCACGGGTTGTCAACATTGATTGATGAGAACTCCGCCTCCGGATCATCTATAAGCAAGCTCTAAGTGTTTTTTTCTAGCTAATCCTACCAAAAAAATGAAGGTTTGATGAATTGGGACCAAAAACACTCAACCATAACCTGCATCGCCCGACGATCAAAAAGCATCGCCTGGCGCTCAATACTACATTTTTCCACGCTTTTGGTTGCACCAGCGTCGCCCGACGAGCTCGGGGCGACAGCTGACAGTAAGTTGAAAAACCAGTACAATTTTAGCCATAACTTGAGAACCGTAACTCTGATTTATGAACGGTCTGAAGCATTGAAAAACTTATTCAATGATCTATCTAATAATTTCTAAATATCAATGCTTGAATACCTACAAAAATGAGATAAAATCAATTACAATCAATGATATTTACACGATAACACAATATATATACTATAACGTAAACCATACAAAATGCACGCAAAAATTGAGGTTTATTGATGAAAAGCAAACAAAATAAGCTGATGAGTGCTACTTATTCATACTCAAATTCACAACAATTTAGCACTCATCACATTGCAGCATGGATAAAACATTACCTTAGAGTTTTTAACCTTGCATATATTTAAGAAGTTGGACAATTATTCCTCCGCTTTAGAGTAAACCACATTCATATGCTCAGTGTAGTCAAGCATATTGACCTCGTCCATATTGGTTTCGAGGCCTTCGATAGCATCGACCATCATAACCTTTACAAGTTTGACAAAAAAGGCTTGCTCACCCTTTACAGGGCTTGAATCAATTTCCATATGAGGCTTGTGTTTGTCAGTAAACTTTATCCTTCCATCTTTCAGAGTGTTCAACACCACATCCCTTAAAAGAACACATTGAGAAGTTTTATGACCAACGAAATTGTGAAATTTACAAAAACTTTTTGTCTTTCTTTGTTCTAATAGTGGTGATTTGAGCCCTTTATGGACTATGATTTGTCCATCAGAACTAATTGGTCAAAAATTTTGTCATACTTGGTTACATCAAACATATATGTTTTTGTAACAAAATTCTTATTTTTACTAGGTTCAACAAGATTTTTCTCGTTTGAAGGTTTGAACACCTTACAAATGTAGGGAGGCCTTACCTTTAATTCTATCAGATTAACCTGACTTTCTTCGACATATTCACAATCATAATGAGGCATCTCGACTTCATTATCTTAAACCTATTGAGATAGTCATCTATTAATTCAGTCAATTTTTATCTCACATTGGTAGTTCCTTCAGGCTAATTTTTGACTAATCCATGTAAAACTGCTCTTGGAACACCCTTTCCAACGGACTCCAATTACATATGGAATGTGGGGGCAAGGTGGTGAACAACGTAAAGGAATTTTTTGTCAAGGAATTGAGGAAATATTTCATCTTTAAAGTTTTATTATTGGCTAGATCCCCTGCCTCTAATTGATGTCGAGCAACGTGCTCGTTAGTAGACTCATTAGTGAACTTGGGGATTTTCCAATCCCTAGGCAGTTTAGTTTGGCACACATATTCATATATCGCAGTGTCATATCTCAAGTTTTCCCCTCATAGACGTTAAAATATATTATGTCCAAATCTGCTAATGAGTTAGTCGAACTATCTTAGTCGCCGTGATTAATATGTTGAAATTATGATCGAGTCTCTTTACACTTAACATTTTCAAACGTGGACATCACTATTCTCTATCAAATCATTCAATTAAAATTTTCAAGATAACAACGACTTAGCCCATTAAGTTGAACTAATCCGAGCTTGCCCCTTGTATGGCTTAAAACAAAGTGGGCTCTACTGAATCTGAATTCGAATACAGTCCAACTTTATTAGATTGTACAAAATTGTTTATAAAATTGAATATGAATCAAATAAGAGTTGAGCTTGATTTTATTTGAGTTAAAACTTTTTTAAAACTATTTTAATTAAAACAAAATTGAAAGAAATAATTCAGTTTTATCTAATTTTGGAAAACACTATACGTTGCCTAGTGTCATTTCATCCGAAACCTAACCATTTCAACTACCGTATGTCCTTTTGTGTCCCATTTCCCCTCATCAATTTAACTAGTTATAGGTCAGGTCACTGCCAACTTACCAAAATGTGTTGAACACAACACCACTTGTTGCCAAGAGAATCTATAGTTGGCACTCTTTTTTTTTGGTACATAGCTATCTATTTCAACAACGTATAGTGTTTTCCACAATTGTGAAAGTGAAGTTATTTGACGCGTACTGTTGCACACTGGACTTTTTACATGCATCCTAGTGTGCACAAAGTATTGTACATTATTATTTAATAGAAATTCTTTATCAAAAAAATAGTTAGTCTCTAATTAAATTCATGCAAATGCAATAGTTTTTCTCCGACCATGTTTTAATTTAAATCTTAATATTACATACTATGAGGACCTCATAGATATTTAAAATAAATAAAGTGGAAATTCACAACAAAAAATTAAATAAAGTGAAAAGCAACACTATTGCTTTCTTTTTTATCTTTATTTTATCCCCTTGACCGTCAATCACGGAGAGAAGAAATTGTTCCTGATTTTCTTGAACAATGCCGCTTTTATTTTATTTTTTGTATTATAAAAAATTATATCAAATTTCATGTATTAGGAAAAGGAATGAGTTACTTTATTTGGTTAGGTTGGTTGAAACTCATTCATTTGTCTTAAACATGCATTTATTTACACACATTTGCAAAGTCATAGATGCCAATGCCATCCACTTCAACTACAATTTACCATCCTCAAGACTCAGCATAATGACAAGAGGATCTCTCTGTTTTTGGAGGAAGAAACAATGACCAGTATACTCCTATGATTTATAGGTGGCCAGCTTGTTAATCTGAGTTTTAGTCTATGATTAGTGTATATTAAAAATTAAAATTAGGGTTAATAAAAAGTTAAATATTTTGATTCCCATTTGAAAGAGTGGAAATAAAAAGAACAAATTGACTTGTTCTATCTGTCCACGTGTTAAATGTTACCTATGATACCGCTGTTGATAGTTGTGTAATTGGACACATAAGTGTGAAGAGATGAAATTCAATATTAGTTAATAATATGAATTGAGATTAATAAAGTCTAAACATGCATACACGAAGAATCTTAAGGTTGGTGTACTTGTTTTTATTTTAACATTCTTATAAACATAAACATTGCTACTGTTTGTTTATATACAAAAAAAACTTTTGATGATTGAACTAAGTGAACCAGATGTCATATATCATCCAGCTAATTAAGGGTAATTTAGCAGTCTAAAGTGAACTATTAATTTGTATTATTCTTTGCTAATCTTTGACTCCATTAACTTGTTAACAAAAAGACACTCGCCACTCAATTTCAATAATGTATCATAGTCCCTTCATCACTCTGTTCTAAAATGGTATCTATGAATCATAATCTAAGTTGGTAAGCATAAGACAACAAGGACCACCAATGACAATTTTTAAATTAAATCATGATTATAATTTGTCTTTCCTCTCTTTTCTTTAATCCTTTAATTTTAAAGAGAAAAACAAATGACAAGCTTTTTATTTTTAATGATAAAAACAAATAGAAAATAAAGTAAAATAAAAAAAAATACATATGAAACACAAACTCTGAATATGACCCAGAAATTAAGACAGTGACATACTGAGACAGATTAAAATTTGAAAAAATAAATAAATTAAATAATTATAAATATCGGTGTAAGTGTCTAACAACCGACACGTATTTTTTCAGAAGTATAGTTGATAAATAGAAATCACAAATAATATACCTCTTAACACGAATAATAATTATAAGCTTCTTGATAACTATTAGCACAAAAGAAACATGCTTTCACCAATCATAACATACACTGTGCAATTTCAAAAGTAACAAGACAAGAGAGTAAACAAAACACTAAAATAAACCCATTCATAACTTACTTACCCTATCTTTAAACCTTTTTTTTGTTTGTAATTTTTAATCTAAAATACATAAAAACATTGAACAACCACATCCAAAATTCAAAGGGATAATAATGAACTCTCTTGGGTTTGTTTGAATCAATCAAGGCTCAAATTCTTCTTGGTCACTCTCAAACTCCTCTTGATTCTGATAACCATTCATAGAATTCTTGTTATTCTCATAAGTGTTCACATTGTTGTTACTACCAAAGTAACCCTTTTTGTTGTACCAATTCTCAGAGTTCACAACCCCTTTAGATGAGTCTCCATTGAATAATGTTGGGTTGTATTTCTCAGAGTTAACATCATAAAAGTATTTTCCACCTTCCATAACTCTTGTGTCACTCATCCCTTGTCTCTCACCATTGTTGTAATTGTTGTTACTAGCACCATTGGTTTTGAAGTTGTATTTGTCAGTAGCAGCAACGTTGTTGTTATAGTAATACTTGTTATTGTTGTTCTGATTTTCCAATGATTTGTACCCTTCTTCTGGGAACTTTTTGTTGCTAAGGTCATTAGAAGCATACTTGTTGTTGTTGTAGTAATACTTGTTGTTGTTTTGGTTTTCCATGGAGTTGTATGCTTCTTCTGTGAACTTTGTGTTGCTAGGATCATTAGAAGCATACTTGTTGTTGTTGTAGTAATACTTGTCGTAATTGTTGTTGTTGTTGTTGTTGTAAGATGTTGCTGTGAGTTTTGTGCCACTGATTTCATTTGGGTACTTGTTGTTGTTGCTATAAGAATCCATCTGGTTGGTGGTGAAGTAATTGTTGTAAGCATTTTTGTTTTCATCTTGTGATGATGATGTTTTCTCATATGATTGGTAAGTGTTGGGAACAACATTGTTTGAGGTGGTTGATGGAGGGTATAGACCAGATTCATGACCGTATAAGCCATAGCTGTTTTCAGTTTCTGGGATGAAAACTGGTTGTTGTTGTTGTTGTTGTTGATCTGGTTTGTTTAATGATCCTTCATTGTTGGGATTGGGAACTTCTCTTTCATTGACATTGTTGTTGACAACATGGGTGACTTTGCTGAAGAATTGGCTTTCTCTGGCATGAATTTGGAGAGAAAATAAAAGGGTTGTTAGGAAAATGAAAGAGAGGAGTTTTGAGATTGGAGCCATTGATGATAGGGAAAGAGAGGAAGGAATGTGATGAGTGAGTAGTGTGATTGTTCAAATATCTTTATATAGAGGCCTTTTTACTTTTTTTTTTTGGCCCTTTCAAAAATTCCCACTTAATTAGTGCAAATGGGAGGAGAAACTTTTACCGACTAAAATGGTCCCTTCATTTGCTTTTTTTTAAGATTAAATTAGAAATTTTATATTGAATACAAAAGAAAATAGATAAGAGAGAAACCATACATTTAATGTTTTTAGATTGTATATAAACATGTGGGGTTTCTCTAATTTATGGAGTTGTTCATTGTTTAATGTGCTTATCCACTCTACTCTTTTGTCACTTTTACTATCCAATATAATCATAATGTTATATTTTTTAATTAATACTTCTAAATAAGACTGAATATAGATCATTCACCACAGGCTTTAAACCCTAATTTAAAATTTTAATAATTAATTTAAAATTGTACTCATTTTTCTATTATTTTACTCATTGTTTGTTGGTCTAAGGGCATATTATCATACAAAATTGTAATGCTCTTGCCGATTTATAAGACTGTTTTATTTACTTACGCAAAACATAGTCATTAAAAATTGAAAATCTTGTGCCAATAAACCTAGGGAATAAGGGTTTGGGCTTCTACAAAATAAAAGTATAGGGTAAACATTATAGGCGATATTAAGAGTATGATTTAATTTTTCTTTATACTTTTATAGAACGGCATCTAATTAAAGGGACGGCACTATGCACACATTATTATATAAACCAAGCTGACTTTATATGTAACTCTTGGCATTGAAGGGGAGATTATGGTTATTTGTTATGCGGAGAGACATCATGTTGGATTGGACACCTTACTATTAAATCAAATTGTATACGAATTATTAACCATAAAATTCAGATAAATTAATTTGTCATCTCTCATATTATATATGACATTCTTTTAAATGGTATAAAAAAATTAAATTGTTCAAACACTACAAAAATATATGTCTTCAGCGACATATATTAGGGACGTGCTTATCACGTGGGTAGTAGCGACGTGATAACCACGTCGCTAATATATTTTAATGACATATAATGCAAATTTGTGAACGTTTTTCAGGGGGAAATTTGAATTTTGGTAGCCACGTGATAGCCACGTCGCTATATTTTTGGGGGGAAAATAAATTTCGCTGATGACAGAGTTGCAGGGTTGGAGAGAGAATAATATTAATGTTTAGTTTGTAGCGACGTGATTCTCACGTGGCAACGTTGCAACGTGACAGTCACGTCGCTACTAGAAGTTACATGTTCAAAATTTTCATTTTTACAGAAGCGTGCTTTCTTCTTCCTTGCTCCTCTCAAACACATTTTTACAGCTTCTTCCTCACAAACCCATAATTCTTCCTCTCAAACCCAATTTCCCGAATCAAATTTCCTCCATCCCAATTTGTTGAAGAAAAATAAGGTATTCATATTTTGATAAATGTTTATTTCGTTTGTTCATTATTTATTATACTGGAATGAAATATTAAAAATGGTATTTGTTCGTTTGTTCATTATTATTTGTAGAGAAATTTGAAGAACACCAAGAACTATCCAAGAAGACGCAAATTTATTGAAGAAATTATATAGAGGTATTTATGCATTTTTTTTTAGATTTTATATGTATTATATAGATTAGATTTGTATATGTATTTTATGGTTAGGAAGTATATATGTATTTTGTTAGTAGTATATATGTACCGATAATAAAAAAATTTAGAAAACATAAAATTAAAAAAAAAAAAATTTATAGATGTATATATATATATATATATATATATGTTAACACATAAATTTAATAACATATTTAATAACATATTTTTTATAGATGTATATTATATTTATTATAATAGTTTTATTTTTTTATTTATATGTTAAAGATATGGAAAAAAAATTATATATTAAAATAAAAATTTATAAAAAACATAATTAAAAAAAGAATATATATATATTATATTATTATTTTAATATTATTGTTATATATATAATAAAAAGTATATATGTTACATTATTTGTTTTCTAATATTATTGTTGTATATATAATAAAAAGTAAATATGTTATATTATTGTTTTTTGATATTATTGTTATGTAATAAAAAATTATATATTTTACATTTGAATATTTATTTATATGTTAGTATATATATAAAAAAGCAAAATTTATATTTTTAAGAATAGTATTAAATAGTTTAAGAATAATATTATTAAGTTGATTAATATTTCTAATGAAAAAGACAATGATTGTATAAATGTGCAGTATGGAATATTATCGGTATTATCGCAGTTGGATGTACGGTAGAACATATCCAGGAAGAAGTGGACTTAAACCCAATTTTATAGTAGGAGTTAATGGGTTTATTAAGTGGGCGTTTGCTCAGGATTGTTGTCGAAGCGAAGGAGGGGTTAGGTGTCCCTGTCTTAAGTGTGAATGTAGACCAATAATTAGTGACCCAGAGGAAGTAACACGTCATCTGCATAGAAGGGGATTCATTGAAAATTATTGGGTTTGGACGTATAATGGTGAAGAACTACCGGTTAATGTACCAGAGACTAGCAACACGCATGCTTCAAGTAGTCGACCGGTTATGGAGTATGAGGAGAACTTTAATTTGATCGGTGACATGGTTGAGGATGCTTTTGGTGTGAACGTGACATATGATGAACCTGAAGATTTTGACGGGGAAGAGTTGCCGAATGAGGAAGCGCAAAGATTTTATCAATTATTGAACGAGATGAATACGCCGTTGTTTGAGGGGTCGTCAGACTCGAAGCTATCAATGTGTGTGAGATTATTGGCCGCCAAGTCAAATTGGAATGTTTTTGATCAATGTCTGGAACATTTTGCAAAAATGATGTTGGACTCCACCGCTACGAAAGACAATTTGCCTACAAGTTATTATGATACAAAGAAGTGGGTGTCGAAGTTGGGTTTAAAAGTAAGAAAGATTGACTGTTGCATTAACGGTTGCATGTTGTTTTATGACAATGAGTTTGGTACTCAAGATGGATCGTTAGAGGAGTGTAAGTTTTGTAATAGTCCAAGATATCAAGTTCGCAGTAGAGCCGTTAACAGCAAGCAAAAGCGTGTAGCAGTAAAATCCATGTTTTATCTTCCTATAATATCAAGGTTAAAAAGAATGTTTGCTTCAATGCACAGTGCAAGTCAAATGACATGGCATCATACAAACCAAACAAGTTTTGGCACTATGTGACATCCATCTGATGGTGAGGCATGGAAGCACTTTGATCGGACACATCCAGATTTTGCTGCAGAACCTAGAAATGTCAGGCTTGGATTATGCTCTGATGGATTTTCCCCATACGTGCAAGCGTCAGGAAGTGCGTATTCTTGTTGGCCAGTTATTGTAACACCTTACAACCTCCCTCCTGAGATGTGCATGACAAAACCATATATGTTTTTGACGTGTGTTATTCCAGGCCCGCACAATCCAAAAGCCGGAATTGATGTGTACTTACAACCTTTAATTGATGATTTGAAGAAGATGTGGATTGGAGAATGGACTTATGATATATCCCGTAAACAGAACTTCACATTACGAGCTGCCTTGATGTGGACCGTTAATGACTTTCCAGCATATGGCATGTTGTCTGGTTGGGGTACGCATGGAAAAATGGGTTGTCCGCATTGCATGGGATACACCAAAGCATTTACGTTGGATAAAGGTGGGAAAAGCTCATGGTTTGACTGTCACCGCAGATTCCTACCAGCAAATCATCCGTATAGAAGAAACAAGACAAATTTTAAAAAAGATGTACGAGAGAAAGATTTGCCTCCGCCTCGATTGCCACCAGGGGTTATATGGAACCAAGTATGTGAACTACCAAAATTTACAGATACTGGGAAAGCATGCCGAATTGAAGGATACGGCGTCACCCACAATTGGACAAAAAGAAGTATATTTTGGGATCTTCCGTATTGGAAAGATAATTTGTTGCGCCATAATCTTGATGTTATGCATATTGAGAAGAATTTTTTTGATAATGTATTTAACACAGTGATGGATGTGACAGGAAAAACAAAAGATAATGAGAAGGCCAGACAAGACATGGGAACTTCTAGAAGATTTTCTGATATAATGCGGCGGGTTAGGGAGAATTATGAGTTGCATGGTATCCGTCCTAACTGGATAGGCGTAGAGGTTTTTGGCGAACTTCGTACATATTGGGGTTCGCCAGAATTCAAGGCCAAATCCGAAAATTTTAAGAAGATGAGGGCATCCGAAAAGGGGGGATGTGTCAATACTGTTGGAAGTATTAGCACTGCAGAGCATGTCCGGCGGATGGTAAATATTACTAATTTTTTAAGTTATATATATTTGTATTCATAATATTTTTTACTAATTATTTTTAACTTTATTGTTTAGACTAAGGAGATGGGGAGACCACCATTGATCATTGAGTTGATTACGAGGACTCGGACAAAGAAATCGGGAGGTTTTGTCGACGACCGCACCCAGAAAGCTTTTGTAAGTAATTAAACTTATGTTTTTTTTTTAAGTTAATAACAAAAATAGTGACGTTATTTCCACGTGGCAATCTATAAGTTGTGGCGTGATTATCATGTGGCAACTGATAAATTGCCAGGTGACTGATTTTCATGTGGCAACTGATACATTGCCACGGGAAACTCACGTGGCAATTCATAAGTTGATTTGTGAAAATCACGTGACAAATTTTTAATATATTTGAATTTAGTATAATTTAATATATAAATGTTTTAATTTTTTTTTAATTGTATTATTTAATGTATGTGTAGGATGATTATCAGACATTGCTAGCACGTTTTCTGGAACACAATTCGCAATATAGGCCAGCAGAGGGGGAGCCGCTTAATGGGGATGTTGATTTCTATATTTGGAATGAGGTTGTTAATGGAAAAGGGCCTAATGGTTGCTTTTTTGTGGGAGGAAATTTGGCCGCCGGCTTGAGAGTTGGTGATCGTAATCTGTTTCAA